GCGGACATAATTGCTTTCTCGAGATTGTCCAAACGCCATGGAAACAGCTTGATCAACCTTTAATTACAGAAGAAGGGAAAGAAAATGATTAGTTAGCTGACCTACTCATAAAAAGAAAATTGAATTAATTGAGCACCAAATTAAAAATATTGCACAAAAGGAACGAAAGGGCCTTTTTTTTTTTATATTAATAAGACACCTCTATTCTCTAAAATTGTTCTTCTCATTTGACAGTTGCATATCACCATGAATGCCACAATTAGACTTTGTGCCTCCTTCGAATGCAGGTGCATAACCCTGATTTTACACTTGGGGAAAAAAAATTAGAAAAGATTCTAGCAATTACTCGCAGAAAGACACCTCTATTCTCTAAAACCTACCAGGATTTCTAACTAGGTAGGAACTACATTGCATGGCAAAAATAACTATTAACCATATAAAAAGATGAAAGATTTTCCTATTTTTGAAAGTCTCCCATTAATTGCCCAATAAGTAAACAACCTGGACAATTCGTCAAAATCGCATTCCTCAATGTAAATGACATATATGATTTATTATGAGTGCTGCTAAATGAACCCTAAAATTAACTGAGTACACCTTGCTACTAAACTATTTATTGAATTACTAATTTACCTTAATATAAAATGACCAAAAAAGATAGAATAATATAGGTATTTATTGCTTTGAATCCATGCCTTCAAACAAATTGACTTAATTTTTAACAAACAACATGGAATCCAAGAAAAGTGTATTGATCCAAGTTGATTTTTTTATGCATAAAACTTAAACAATCATTAACACAAACCAATTCAATAGGGTGTACCATGAGTATTTTTGATAGTTAAATATAGTGTACTTAGTTAATTTTACATTTTAATTTAAATATTATGGTGTACTTAGATCATAGGTTGTACTCAATTAATTTTAGGGTTCGTTTAACAGCACTCTTTATTATCTATTTAATATTTTGAACATGAGGTTTGTTGGGCTCCTTTCATCCAGGCCTGGAAGTGCGACTGCCCTGGGCTCAATATCTAAGGGGGCCCAATGAATTTTATAGAAGCTATATGCTATGTTGCACGGACACGGACACGGGGACACGGAAACGCGACACGGCGACACGGCGACACGAAAAATCTCAAAAAACTAGGACACGGATACGGCTAGGAAAAAGAGTAATATGGCATTGAAAGTTGGAACTCTGACCCAAAAGCAAATATTGGAAAGCTAGCCCCATTTCAACGCTCTAGGTTGTTTTTTGGTCAGAAATTCCACTGTTCTAGCCTCTAGGTAAGTTAACGTTAGATTTTTTGTATTATAAAAGCCTTTAAGCATTTCATCCAAGCATCTAAGCACTCAGTTCATCTAATTACTTTTTCAGAATTTCTGGGCTTTTCTTCAGTGCGAAATTGGTCATTCCAGAAATTAATTGAAGGTAAATTTTCTTGATTTTGTATCAAATCGAAAGGAAAATATGGTTTTGTGTGAAGTCACCTGAATTACACATTCTCTTTGTAGGGATTCTTGTAAGCTGTAATTGATTGCCTACAAAATGCTGTTCCTGTTTCGTTTTATCTGTCAAGGATATGCTCCTATTTGGCTTTGGATGTTGAGTATGCAGAGAAGTATGCAGAGTATGAGCACACAAGTAGAAAAAAATAATTGTATTTTGATGGTAGAAAAGGGCCTTAATTCTTCTCTTTCGCCCTGGGCCCTAAAAAATTCAGGGCCGGCACTGTACATCATCATTCCCATAAACTAAAGGCAGAAAGACACAAAGACAAGTACAAAATGTAGAAAAGTTTTAGCAGTGAGTGAGTCACAGATTTACAGCAAGGGAAAGACAATGGAAACTTCTTACTTCTCACCTTCCTTCTCCTATAATGCCAGTGAGCATTGATCCAGTCACATTTACGGGAGACGGTGCATGGTCAATCCCGGGGCTCCCTTCAGGCTGATGGTTGAGGAGAACATTGCTCTCAGTTGGTGAGGTATCATCATCCACCAAAAAGCTACTTGTGGTTACATCTTTGAAATGCCAATCTGTCAAATAACTTGGCTTTGATATAACAGTGCTTGCTTCAATATCTCCAGAAAGCATTGCCACCACACGTGACATCGATGGCCTCATCATTGGTGAAGCCTGAGTGCAGAGGAGAGCTGCTTTTATCAATCTAGTTGCGTCATTTTCATCAAACTCCGTCAATCTCGAATCCACCAGCCCCAGACCCTGGTCCTTTTCATGTAGAGTCCATGCCTGAAAACAAACATCATAGCATGTGATGGGGAGATGGTATCTCAAACACGAACCTCCAACGAAACTACACCAACACTAGAAATATATAACGAACACTCACAATTTGCGGCTAAACTTAGCTGCGTTTTCTGAATAAATTCTCAATTTCAATCTGTCCGATTGGTCTACAAGAGAAAGGTTTAAATAACAACTACATCCTAGGAATATAAGGAATTATAATTCTAGTACAATCAGGAAAACCAAAACAGAAGGAAAATATAAAAGGAAGTCAATCAGCAGTAGGAAAGGTCTCCTAATTTATTTTGGGAAATAATCTTTAAGGTAATTAGGAGGTTTGACTGATCTCTTGGGCTTCCCTAGTTTGGCTTGGGATGCTCCTGATCAGCATGGTCAAAAAGGAAAAAAATAAAGAAGTTTTCACAGCAATGCTAAAATAAAAGTAGCTAGGCTAAGTTTTCCTACCCATTCAAGAAGATAAATCTTCTCAGGATCCAAGTTGTTGTCAGAATTTGGTCTCCCGCTGAGGATCTCCAAAGCAACAACCCCGAAACCGAAAACATCAGCCTTTTCTGTCAGATGTCCACGCATTGCATACTCCGGAGCCAAATAGCCTCTACAAGATTATCAAATGCTTACTAAAAATGTTGCTTGGATTACACCCTCCCTAGTCATGATTAACAATGCATAACATAAACGAGGGCTTACATTGTGCCTGCAACCCGGGTGCTCATGTGTGTTTTGTCGTCATCATAAAGCTTTGCCCATCCAAAATCTGATACTTTTGGGGAGAGTTCTGCATCTAGCAAAATATTACTGGCTTTGACATCTCGATGTACAATCCTGGGCCTTGACTCCTCATGAAGGTAAGCAAGTCCTCTTGCTGTTCCCAACAATATATTGAAGCGGGTAGGCCAGTCAAGGTGCAAGTCATTTCTTCCTGAAACATTACATGGAGAAGAACCAGTGCATGTTAACAACTAATAACAAGTATAAGAGAAAAAGAAAAAGAAATTGGATGCAACCTTAGAGTACTTTAAACTGCAGAGTATTCTGTTTTTTTGCAAAATAGAAGGCAAAGTAGCAAAAGAATGTGCGGGTTTATAATTTCATATGATTCGAATATTACACTTTTGGTTTCTTTAAACTTCACTCCTCAACAGAGAAAAATTATAACAAAATGGTTGCGTAAAAAACTTGGATGAACTTTTAGAGTCCTTGAAACTGCAGAGTATTCTGTTTCTATAAAACCTACCAAAAAGTGCCCGATCAAGGCTCTTGTTTTCAAGATACTCATAAACCAAAGTGCGCTGGGTTCCTTCGATGCAGCATCCATACAATTTCACTAGATTGCGATGTTGGACTGCGGATATCGTAGCAATCTCGGTTACAAATTGACTCTTCCCTTGGCGAGATGCTACTGAAAGTTGCTTCACAGCCACTACCCTCCCATCAGATAGTGTACCCTATAAACAGAAATACAATTCAGTGACATGAAAGGGAAGTAAAAAGAATCTATTTTGCTTCTCTCTCAATTTCTTTTTGTAAGAAGTCAAAGTCATTACTTTAAAGTAGCAGATATTGATGTAAAATAGATTTCACCTTATAAACAGGTCCATATCCTCCCTCTCCTAGCTTATTTGAAGGATTAAAATCTTCTGTTGCAGCTCTCAACTCAGCATAACTGAAAGTATTTGGTCGGGGGCCTAATCCTAGAAGATCTGCATATTCAAAAGAAAGTATGACATACGTTTAAATTTCGAAACAATACATGCTACTATAAAATTTGTGTTAATGTCACAACAAATAAGAAGTAATTTCTTTCAAAGGCTTCATGCTTATCAACACTAGAAAGAACCTAAAACCGCATGCAGAATTAACCACTAGTACGTGCTACTATAAAATTTGTGTTAATGTCACAACACATAAGTGTAAGATGACTTATGTGAGTTGGCATAATCACATGTTGTGTTTATCATATTAGAACAAGATAATAGGGTTTGTATTTATCAGTTGTACTAAGACTCCTAGTTTTGACAGACTTGGTAGCTATATTATATTGATAAGGACTCAATTGCTTACGTTTATCAGTTTGTTTAAACACTAACTCTATCTATAATAGGAGAGATATGGTTAAGGTTTGATCAATATAAAAGGACCTGATCCCTGCACTCACAAGTCGCCAAGTTCTATTTTGGGCTTGACCTATTGATAGCTAGAACATATTGAGACTTGCAGAGAGTAGAAGATCGTTCTTGTTTCATCTATGTATTCCTTGACAATTATGTATCAATAGTGAATCTGTTATTAATATTGCATAAGTCTTATGTTGTAATCCTTTGTGATGTTGATATGCCGCTAGAGGTGTATTCTTACAATAAGAAGTAATTTCTTTCAAAGGCTTCGTGCTTATCAACACTAGAAAGAACCTAAAACCGCATGCAGAATTAACTACTAATAATATGCTCTTTTACCTTCATCGTCATCTTTTTCTGATTTTTTTCTCCTCATATATAGAACTGCAAATAATAATAGCAAGCTCACAGCCCCAACAGGGACTGCAATACCAACTATCAACCCAGTCCTGCTCTTCTCTCCTGGAGTAGTTGGTGGAAGCCCAGAAACAGTTGGTTTAAAATCTGAGCAATGAAATAGAATAATTGTTCAGTGTCAATAATTTAGCAGCAGAAAGATACATTTAAACCATTCATAGGAAATATTCATAACTTAACATTATATTATATACCTGAAACAGCATGGACAGCCGATATTAGCGGGCCGTAAACACCTTGTTTAGGTATGCAACATGTTCCCTTACCAGCCCAGAACAGATGAATATCTAGGTAATTCTCTGTCACATTAACCTTGAAGGGTATCTTAATTGCTCTGTTAACCCCACCTGCCTCCTTCGATATGTCGAAGTCCTTCCTTCTGAGGTTCCCCTAGGAAGCAAATGAAGAGATAGTTAAATAATTCTGTCTAATGAGTTGCCCTTACTTCAAATAGTTCATTAGCAGCCTTACTTGAATATAGATATCAAATACACGCCTTCCTAAACTATGCCAAGTTTGTGTAGCACGGCTAGTATAAACCGTTTCTGCAAATTGCAATGTTACGGTATAAGGTCCATTCTCAAGACCCAGGCCATAGTATCTCAGTGAACTTGGGGACACTCTTGAAGTCTGGAAAAGCTCTGGGGTCACATCTGTACCGGTGACTTCCGTAAGGGTGGTTTCCACAAATGATGGATTGTTTCCGTCATAAAACAAACCCACATTGCTAACAGCCCATTTCTGTGTACTGGTTACATAAAATTTTGCTGGGCCAAGAGCTGAGTCTTGATCAGCTTCATACAATATGCCATCAATTCCTCTCATTTGTGGTCCTCCGCACTTGATTGAGAAGTTTGCATCTGTAAAATTGAATATAGGGGCACAAGCTATGATTAGTGATAAAAACTTCAAACTCAAGACAAGACTCATACTGAGGCTTTTGAATCACATATTTATAACCAGATATGCTTACTAGATGTATCAAAACACTCTTGCAATATGTACACATAGTTAGAGAAGCAATGCCTATTCCTGTAACATGATAATGCATTAATAAATGGCTGGTGAAACAAAAGAAGATTACATAGAGGGGTATTTCGATTGCATGGAAAATTCCTCTGGAGGCAATTCAATCCGGCAAGACTGCAAACACAGAGAACAATTATCATTTATCCAGATGGAAAAATGTAGTGGAAGAATCCATTAAACTGAAGAAGTGTAATAGCTAGTAGTGATAGTATTGTCTGTCTAACCAAGGGTAAGAGAAACTTCAACTCACTCTATGTTTGAACTGTCAAATGTGAAGTTGTTGACCACTAAGTTCCTGAATAAAATCATTAATCAATCAACATATGAAGCTATACATGTTTATTAAATAAAGATTTCATGTTCAATATCTAAACATAGTAGTACTTCAAATCCATCACTTCAAACTGTCACACACATTATTTGTGTGCACACATACTAACTTTGAGGACCACGAATGACAAAAAAAAAACATTAAGGATGCAATCTGATAGTTTCGTAAACCTTAGGGACGTTTTGTGATATTAAGCCTTTATTGAATTTCATTCATGTGGGTATTGTAACACCCCGACCCTAATTTTTATATCCAATCAATTATTTAATTAATTAGATTATGAAATTACAATTTTACCCTTGGGGATAGGGGTATTTTGGTCACTTTTTAATCTAGAAGGATTTTGGGAAAATGAGTGGTACCGTTGCGTAGAGCTCTTCGATACGAGTTCATAGACATGCGGCATGCCCAATTTCGAGTTGTAACGAAAGAGGAAAAGTTTGAAAACGAAAGGGACGTACACGGAATTTTTTTAATTTGCTACAGTACCGGGCAGTTTTATTATTTTTCTTTTTTCTTTTTTTTTCTTCATCTTCTTCCTCCTCCCCTCTCCCTCTGCGCGCGACCCCCTCCCCCTTCGTTCTTTTTCTTCCCAGCCGACGGCTCCAAGGGCCACCGTCGCCGCCACAGGCCACGGTTGGCCACGGGACCGGACCCGATTTCGCCGGAAAAAGCTTGTTTTTGGCCGGAAATTTCAGAAACTTTGGGTCGCTCGTTCTCCCTCAATTCTCCACCAAATCTGACGAGTGAGGTATGGATTTTCGACTATTTTTCATGATCTAGCTGCTGGTTGGGTAGGACTTCATAAATTTTGAGCACTGTTAGTCCGATTTTCGAATTGAAAAATCTGCCAGTTTCGACTTCCGATTCCGGCCACTTCCGGCTACTTTTGGGCCATAGCCCAAGAACAAAAGTGACTCCAAATTAGGTGTATTACCTAGGGTAGGAGTTTGGAGCCGTGATTCCGAGACTTTCAAGCGAAGCGATAACGCTTTGGACACCCACGCGCTGCCTGCGCGTGTGGCGGCGCGTGGAGCACTGTAGCAGAGGGCTTTGGGTCCCAATGCGATCTCTTGGTTGTCACGAGCGTATAGAAGTTTATGGATCTCAATTCGGATTACGTTTGAACCCCGAACGGATTTTACATATTGTGTGATTTCCGGGTTCGATATGTTAGAACCGTTGGATCACTTCCAAATTCATATAGGCTGTTCCTTGTATTCCTAGGATCGTGTAGGAATTCGCGGATCGTGAATCGGAGCCCCGGATGTTCCGATTCAATGACTTAAAGTTTAACGTAACACGATAATCGTGCGATCGCGAGCGATCCGACCGTCCGATCTGAACCAAACTTGCAGGACGCGTATCCTAAACCTTGTGGAACCAATAGAAACTTTCGGATCGTAAAACGGAGGTCGTGGGCCCCGCGGGCCCAGTTGACCAAATGTGGAAAGTTTATGCATATTGTTTTAATGATTCATTTGAAATATATTATATATTTGATTAATGGATTTGATATATTATAAAGTATTTGGGTTTTGATACATTTGAATATCTTGAGTGTAGATTTATAATAAATGAGAAAGTGCTATCTTTGTTGATTTTGTATGGGGTACTTAGAATGCTAATTTGAGTGTTTTTAGCACTACCTTAGATACCTCCCCGGTTATGGGTTTTATGTTTGAGATTTATTTTGCCTAGGCCCGTCGGAGTTTGTCCAGGCCCTTCGGATGTCTTCTTAATACGATGCCTTGGGAAAAACTGGATTACGGAAGGGAATATTACTTTATAATATTTATATAAGGATTACGAACTCCACCATTATACGTACCTCCCCCTTGGATGATGATACTTGGAAACAGTGGATATGGACACTAGGATATATGAAAATTGTGGATATGGTCTGGATATGATGGAACCCGGGGCATCCTTAACGGGGTGTCGCTGTAGACCCTTAATTGGGTAGTCTGCGCGCGTATGACAGTTTATAGGCGTACGGGTCTTGATTCTTCCTCCGTACGTGCTGGCTGAGAGTTAGTCCCCCAGTTGGACGGCTCGTCCCTAGCCACATAGTTGTTTGAGGGATGATAATTGTGAGCTAGTCAACAATCCCCGATTGGATTGTTTCCCCAGTACATGATATGCATCATCATATGTACCTCCCCTTGGATACTGATACATGGACATAGTGGATATGGTTTGGATATGACGGAACCCAGGGCATACCTTAATGGGGTGTCGCGGTAGACCCTTAATTGGGTAGTCTGTGCGTGTAGGACTGTTTACAGGCGTACGGGTCTTGATTCTTCGTCCGTACGTGCTGGCTGAGAGTTAGTCCCCCAGTTGGACGGCTCGTCCCTAGCCACATAGGCGTTTGAGGCTGGATACTTGTGAGCTAGGCAACAATCCCCGGTTGGATTGTTTTCCCCTGGTACATAATGATGGTGAGAGGTGGGTGTTATTATATATATATTTATGTACTCATTTATAGGCATACATGTTACACATTGGTATATGTGGTTTTGGTTCGGGTTTGAGATTCGTGAAATTGTACTTTGTGAAGACCCTGTTTATGTATGAATGTTTGAGCCCTGGATTGGGAGGTGTTGTACGGCAACATACGTCTTGGATAGGGTATGATTGCGGGATTGAACTGATATAAAGGGAAGAAATTGATAATATGTTCAATTTGTTTTATCGAAATCGGAGTTGTGACCATTGATATGAGAACTACGTGTGGCTTGATCCCTTGTCCAAGGGTACGTAGGCAGCCTGGGGTCTCATCTAGGTGCAGTTGCGAATTATATTATGTTTAAAAGGGTTTGAGCGATTCTGAGTTTGTGATTTGATTTCGTTGTGGTTATTGGATTTGAATCTGGTTTAATGATTTCAGTGGTATTCGTAAAGTTGTTTGAGACCTTTAATTGTATTGTTTATGAAGTATCCGACTTAAGAACTTTGTTGGTTTTGTTTCGAACCATTGGAAGGCCGGAGACCTATTATGTGATTGCATGTTGTTAACTTGTGCATGCTGCCAGTTGGTGTTTTAAATGTGTTTTATGCAGGTTTGAATTTTTGGGGAAAGTCCAATTTACAAGGGAGACCCTGCCGAAATTTCGGTAGAAAGTCTCGTGCTCTTTTCCCTTAATTTGGAAAAGAGGCTAAATTTTTAGTAAGTGGGCCCGGCATCGGTTTGATGTCGGAATTTCCACAGGATTCGTCTCAAGTTCCAAGGAATTCGGGGCGGGTCCTGTCAGGTATTATATATATATGCACAATATTCGAGGAAAGAAGCACTGTAAGAACAAATCCTGGTGATATGTTTTGCCCAAACCGATTCTGGTGATTTAAACTGTAAACATGAAGGTGAAAGATTAAAAAGGAGACATACAGTTGCGATATTGTGGTTACCCATTGGGGAAAGCTTCCTGATAAATAGTTGTAAGACAAATCACTGCACATAACAATACAGAATGAGAGGGCACAAAATGTATGAAAGTTCAAAATAATTTGAATAAGAAAAATGATTAGAATGTTTTCATCAATGGATGAGGCTCTGATTGAGATTTTATCTCACGTACACAGATACACCCATATGCACACAGACGCAGACAGAGTACTTGTTTCATTGCCAGTACATTCTATATAACATACTTCTATGACATGAGGACTTACATAGTCGGAAGTCGATTGCTCTTTTGGCTTGGAAGAGGTCCAGACAGGCTATTGTTTCCAAGAAACCTGGCCATTTCATTTATAACATAAGGCACCCATAAAAAGAAGGAAAAAAGAATAAAGAAACAAGAAAAAGGTCAGATGAATGACAAGTTTCTGAGCAGGAAATCCAATGGCATGAGTACAGAAAAATGTAATAGAGAAGGCAGGGCTTATTACAAGTATGTAAGGGAACTCATGCTGAACAAAGAACTTGGGAGTTCGCCTGTTAAATTGTTGAAACCCAGATCCCTGCAACACGAATGATAAGGTTAGAAAGCAATTAGAATGAACGAAAATTAACTGGGATTCTTGGGATTTGAACTTATATATCTACTGGAAGTTGGAACGTACAGTATCTTTAAATCTTCATAGTCTCCAATATCAGAAGGAATGCTACCATTGATTAATGCATTCCGTAGAACTCTGTTCCACCACCAAAAAATTTAGTGCACAAGTAAATGAGTAAGATTGCAAATTTTAAAAGGAAAAAAGAAGTTATATCACGATATTTGAAGGGATGAGAATGTTAACTTACAATTCAGTCAAGTCCTTCAAATTTCTTATAAAATCAAGAGAGGAGCTCACATTATATATATCACAGATTCGCCTTCATTATCATACACAAACATAAGTGATGCCCAGTAGAGAGAGAAAGAGAGAGAGTTTAAAATGTATTACAGAGAATTCAATGAAGTCAGTTGAGAAAAACTGGCTGGTATTGGGCCTTCAAAAGAGTTCCCTTGAAATCTCCTACAAAAACATTTGAGATGCTTGTGAATAAAAGACCCATCTCAGCCATGCAGATCTGCTTTCATAAACTGCAGAAGGATAAAAGTTTGCCATACTTACAAATAAGTTAGTTTTCTCCAATTCCCAATGAAAGAAGGTATCTTTCCTGAGAAAGGATTGTCTGATGCATAGCTAAAATTCAAAAAGTTGACTCATAGTAAGCTCATCCCAGAATAGCAATCTCAAAGTGATGAATAAACAAAATAAACTTAAAACACCACTTAAGGGCCATTCTTACAGGAGTTGCATGTTGGTGAGCTTAGCAAATGTTGAAGGAATTTCACCACTAAATCTACAGCTGTCCATGTACCTGTGAAAATCATAAACTGATTAGTACCAATTTCATATGGTAAATGCATTTCTTGCTCATCGATAATGAATTAACAAATAAACCGCTCCTTAAAGAGAAAATAATTATACATTGCAACATGTGATTCAAATTCGATGAGTGAAATGATGCACTCACAATTCCTTGAGCTTGACTAAGTTACCAAGTTCTGGAGGGAGTGTTCCGGAGAAATTATTTGATCCAAAGGCCCTGCAACAAGTCATGTTGAAGAGGTATAGAATTAAATGATAGGGGGTTCTATATTTAACATGTCCCAATAGAGCATTTCTCAGTTGTCTTTGCTTACAGCATAGTTAGCTCCTTAAGGTTTCCAAGCTCCTTGGGGATGGGCCCAGAGAATGAATTGGTGGCAATTGACCTGAATGGAAATATCAATTAAAGAAATTAGCACGTGTTTATAATTTAGGATAAAAACAGAAAAAATTTATGTACTATGTGCTGCTTTTACCATAACCCACTTGGGAGGTCTATATTTCATGTCCTTAAAGAAGAAATAAACCAACAAAATTGATTGATTTGTAAGAAATACAGTTCCAACTTATATATCAGGACCAAAAACAAAAAGGAAAGCCAATCACCAAGCAGCCAGCCTTACCTCAAAGTGAAATCTAGTTTTCAAAATCACCCTTATTATTGAAAACAACTTGAAAGTGAATTCAATTTTCAATTTTCAGTTTTCGTTTTCATTTGTTTTACGCTCCTATTTCATTCATTAATTTTACATCACGACACATGGAATGCACTCCAGTTATCAAAATTTGGTATTTGGGACCTCCCGACTTGGTCCCGATTGCTTGATTCTTGCATTTGGCCACGGACCCAATCCAAGCCTCCGGAACTCCATCTCCAAAATTCATCATAATTCCAAAAAAATTCACCGAAAAATACAACGAAATCTTTGTAACATGCACTTTCAATCTATGATCATAAATTCACAATTGGACCCCAAAAATTCCATTTCCAAGTTTCACATAAAACTGAAAACTGACAATTTAATTCAGTTACCAAACATCTTGTGTTCAGTTTTCACTTTTCACTTTTTGTGAAAATTTAAATTAATTACCAAACAAGTTTTCAGTTTTTGAAAAATGAAAACTTAAAATTGAAAATTGAAAACTAAAAACCGAAAACTGAAATGGTTATCAAACGGGTTCTAAGTCAATTATAGAAATTGTACATGGGAATGAGTCTCATCAAAGTATTTGACAGATAAAAATTTGTATTACAACTTAAACAAATGTTCTCTCACTACTTACAATGACGTTAATGCGGTCATATTGCCGATGAATGCTGGTAGGGGACCGGTGAAATAATTCTGATCAATTTTCCTACAAAGAATTAAAACAAAGTGCAATGACCAACGATTAATCTCTGAGTATAAAAAATATTTGTGACAAT